TCTGGGTCTACTAAGAGACCTTGGTTCTCTCTGTATTTTGTACTTGAGAGTGCTCTGAGATATTGTTTGAGATGATCCCCCACACCTTTCGCCACCGGAGCAGAGTTCATCCATTTTACTAGTGGTAGGACCTCTTCTGAGTCCGCGCGGGTAGGTATCACCACCCTGCCTATTTCTGCCGTCAAGCAGTAATGCGTTTCGGTCTGAAAGGTGAGGTAGCCGTAGTAACTATACTGAGATCTTAGAACTTATATCTCAATGTGGGTAGCGCGTTTACGTTGTAGACTATCCAGCAATTTTTTGTTTTGTGCACCATTTGCCGTCGCTTTCTGAGTAACACTTGGGACATGATGCCCCTCCTTGCCCCCTCGCTACGCCACTGAATGCAAACGAAGTCGAGGTAAAACCGGTTCCACGCGATCTCAATCTATTCAAACATTATGTCCAGTTTTAAAAACATCTAAATGTCAGATGTGTCTGCCTCGGAGTCTGACATATATTTAGCGTTGTTAGGACTCGGAAGACGATAGAATGTAACCAAAACTGCTTTAAGTACGATGAGTTTTATTAACATAAAACATTTTTTTTATTGCTCAGATGGGTGGACGAGCTCACAGCCCGCCTGGTGTTAAGGGGTTACCGGAGCCCATAGACATCTAAACGTAAATGCCGCCACCCACCTTATAAATGCCGCCACCCACCTTGAAAATGCCGCCACCCACCCTGTAAATGCCGCCACCCACCTCTTTAGACGTCTCGATTTTCCGAAGAAGAGAACCTCAAAATAATCAGGACTTCGCATCTTATCCGACACATATTCGACCCCGCGTGTTGCAGTCGTTTAACAAACAAACAAAGCGAAAAACATTAATATTCTAAATTAAATCCGTTGGTAAAGTGCAGAACTTCGTTTGATTGTTCGCAATTAAAAATTTCACACTTGAATCTTTTAAAATATTTCATTAAGTGCCTTGAGGAAACGTAGAGAGGACACGCTTGGTGTCGACTGACTTTCTCAAATAAAAAACCAATCGATAAAGATCACGCGCGTCCTTACTTCAGTGTGGTTAGTGCGAGTTTTTTAACGTTCTCGATCGCGTAAAAGTTTACTCGAATTTGTATGGAGTTGAAACAGCGCCCCTGGCGGCAAACGAAGGGAAACTTCGAGAAGTTAAAAAACTCGCACTAAGCAAACAGGTTTCGGATAGTACACGCCTCGTTTCGCTCGATGACATTCCCAACCCGAACCGGACCTTTATTCCTTGACATAAACACCCAGTTGCGACCCAAGACGACCTTTTGAACTTGGACCTAAAATATTATTTACAAATGCAAAGGTCGATGTGTGATGCACGGCTCGGGACGGCTGAGCCGATTTCGACGAAATCAATAGGTGATTCTCAGAATGTACTAACGGGTGATGCTGTCTGCGGGCGCTCGGGTCAAAATCGAATCAAAGATCGGTCAACTAAGGGGGCTGAGTTTGATTCGTTTTCAGAGAAATGTGTCACTTGTAAATAAATAAATAATTGGAAACAAATCACGTACGGTCATCCGGATCCCAGTTTAGGATTCCCCGTGTTATGGTTACCAGAGACTGACATACACACTTATATACGTTTAAATATATACATATAAAGATAGTAAGCACTCAGACAAAGAGCAACCAAAGTCAGACATACTTATGCGTTCCCTAACCATTCGTCTCATCATGATGGAACACGGTACAATTGAGGCCATCAGCGCAAAAGTGGCCTAACCCACAATTTTTTGTATTCAAGCTTATATGACGTATATTGGAATTTATTTAAAATATAATAAATTTTGATGCAAAACCGGCCTATCCATAGTGTCATCCATAGATGACAGATAGCTTTGTAAACATAATCTTTTGCCTACTCAAATTCAAATTCATGAAAATTCTAACGTAATTACCTCCATACTAACTATAGTAAGCTTAGGCCACTTTTGCGCTGATGGCCTCAATTGATTTGGTACTTCGTGAAGGCTTTATAGTACCATCAATGTACGACAGATTAGTGGCAAAGACAAAGGCAACTTATTAGTTACAGCAGTCTATAACCTATATGTAGGATTGGTAAGAACGAAATTTATGAAAAGCGTGGAATGGAGCCTTAGGGTGTGAGTGAGAGGAGGCGGTAAGAAAGGGAAAAAAGAATGAAGGAAGAAAAACAAAATGGCGACGACAGTTGAATGAGCAAGGCTTAACAAAAGTTGTCAGTTAATTTTTACTACAACGATAGAAAAGATTAGAACATGATAAAAAACTGTGGAATAGTTTTATTTCACGCGTCACGAACACAATTCTAAATACATTCCAGTATATTTATTAACGGAGAACACAAAATCGTTTGTATAAATTTATTCAAAACATAATTAATCTTTAAATTCAATTTGGTGCCGCCATGTTGCGCCACGCGCCATGCAGTCACCGTTTTAATATATTCTTCATCGATAAAGGTAAAGACAAGCGACATAAACCGACAAACAAGTTTCGGATGCCACGTTTGACATTCATTTTAGATTCCCATCGCATATTTATATATTTAACTTTCGACCCTATACTCTTATCATTGAATCGCGGATTTTGCTTGCAGCACGCTATGTGTTTTATGACACTTTTTGTTTTTCAAACACACAGCCTGATTTCATAATAATATGCATGGAACATAATCTTCCTTAAATTGGTTAAAATGTTATGTTTTATACTGTGTCCCTAGTCGGATGCCGGAAAAATATTAAAATATATTATATGATTCTTCTTCTTTGTCGGTACAGCTCTATCAGCCGTTATCTCAACACTCACTCCCCTCCCTCTCATATCATTATTCACACACTCCATCCATGTCTTTTTCGGTCGACCTCTTCCCCCTCTACCTTTCACTACTATTTCCATACATCTCCTAATCACATTCATCTTCTCTCTCCGCATCACATGTCCAAACCACGCTAAGCGTCCGCTTTTTAATTTATCAAACACTAGGGCTATTTACACACTTCCTCTGATACTCATTCCTTATCTTGTTCATTCTTTCGTCTTGTTTTCTATTATTCCAACAACAATCATAAAATATATTAATTTTGATGGAAAACAAAAACACCCGCATTTTGATTAAATTTGTATGAGAACACATCTGAGTATAACAAAAATGATATTTATCGAAAAACAGTTAATTTTAAACAAAATAACTTCCACTGATTTGAAACTTTTAAAATTAAATAGGTATATTTCTTTAGAAACCTCATTGGTTGAGAATTTGTTCAAATAACAAAACTATCATTGACGAAGTGTAAACAGAGGAATTTCGACAATAAATTCTATTGAAAGAACGGTATTTTTTACGGTCTCGATAGCGTAAAAGTTAACTCAAATTTGTATAGAGTTGGAACGTTTGCCTACGTTTGCCGCTAGAGGCGCTGTTCCAACTGCATACAAATTTGAGTTAACTTTTACGCTATCGAGAACGTTAAAAAACTCACACTAAACACACGATTCATGATGACCGTGCGTGATTTGTTCCCAGTCATTATTACAATCAAATGTCAGTCCTTTAAAGCTATTCCTGACACGAAGCAATTGCGTCCCGATTTAGACATTGGGACTGCCGTCAGAACGTTTCAAGATGATTGACGGTATCCGAGTTCTGATGTCCATGGACTCCGTGAGCCGTAGACCTCTCTAAAGGGGTATAAGCCGTTGTAATGCCTGTTTTCGGTTTCACAACTAATACAATAATTAATTTCATATTGGTTTCTCGTGTAACTCAAACAACATCCTTAGGCGTTTTGCAAGAATACAAAACATGTTTAAGCCAATGACATGATTTATGGCAGACATGACGTAGCCGTGATGTATTGACAACTGTCAACGATTGTACAATGCGCGCTGTGTAGTTGTTTAGTTATTAAGTCATTGCTTTGGAGTTAGGATGCGAATTAGCCCACAGACACAGCCCACTGAGTTTCTCGCCGGATCTTCTCAGTGGGTCGCGTTTCCGATCCGGTGGTAGATTCTGCGAAGCACTGCTCTTGCTAGGGTCAGTGTTAGCAACACTCCAGTTTGAGCCCCGTGAGCTCACCTACACACGTAAGGGTGAAGCTGAAATAGCCTCTCAAGGCTATCAGCATGGGTAGGAAAAAAAAGGAGTTAGGGTCAAATGTTCATTAAATTAATGGATAAAACTGGGTGACCTGTATTAAATTTCCGTATTTAGTGGAGGGGAGCGCTCGGGTCGAAGCCATGCTGCCTGTGATGTAGTTAACCCTGGGCACGACCAGTCCATATCAAAACCATGTATTCTTTCCGTTTGGTCCTTTCATCGCATTAATAGTCAGATGAGCATACGGCCTGATTGGTCATAGATGCTCATGAACAATCGAATCGTTAGGGTTGAGCCGCTCCGTTAATTCTTTATAGGATGTTAAACCGTCCATCATTAAAGTTTAGGGTTGTCAATTATGCTTTTTTTTTATTTTTGAACAAAAAAAACCGACTTCCACAAAATAAAAAGAGAATATTGTGAATGTAGTTGAAGTCAATTAAACATGCATTACTAAGGAGAACTGAAAAACCACTGGTTCGAATTTGATAACATTTAAACGGGGCCAAATGAGAAGCCAAAGCTTTCAATAAAAGGATCAAGGAAGAAAAACGTTCTGAAGAATAACGCATACAAAATAAATAGAATTGATAACTTCCTGATTGATAACTGAAATTAATACGGATAAATAAAAGGTTCGAACCAGAGTGTAATATACGTCTAATTACGACTCTCCGTGTAGACAGAGAAGAACTTTTTTTAAATCACTGTTTTGCTGTTTTCTTTGTTCATTTTGCCACATAAATTAGAACTATAACTCTATGGTCTTTCTTTATGTCTGTGTATTGGAATAAAAACATGTCTAAGATAGACTAGAGCTAAGGTTTAGCCAAAATGAGTCTGATTATTCGAAAAACTAAATCAAATGTTTTGTTACAGAAACAATACTGCAACGTACGCAGCGAAATCTGCTGCAGAATCGAGATCTCCGGTCTTGCTGGAGCTGGCTCTATCCAAGGCTCACTCGGAGTAGACTCTGCTTCCTACTCTGGTCAGGGAACGAATCTTTTCGCAACGAATCAAGGAGCTGCGAACAACTTTGGAGCCTTCGATTCCGCAAACAGGGCTTCTAGTTTTGGAGCGTCCAACTTCGGAAGTGGTGCTGCAGTGAACAGAGCTTTTGATTCAAGAGGAGCATCAGGCATCTCTACTATTGGGTCGACTCTCGTTCCCCCCACTACAGCCGGTCGCTTCGGCTCTACTGGTTTTGGCAACGAAGTCTTCAAAGCGACAAGCCAATCGAACTTTATCGAAACCGATTCATTCTCCGCCGGTAGTGACGTGGCCAGTTCTTACAGACCAGGCGCAATCGGCTCCGGATTGAAACCCGGTATTCCCTATCTACCACCAGTCGACAACACCAACAGTGGATCTAATGTGGTGACCAGCACGGCTTTCCCGACGACCTTCGTGACGACACCGCGTCCGTTCTCAACTCCTCGTCCGGTTACTCCTAAGCCTACTTACCTACCGCCCATCATACCTTCGACATCTGCCCCTGGATACTTGCCTCCCGTAGCAGACTCATCCAACAACAGGGAGACCCGTCTTCCCCCTAACAAGGTTTACAATGAGGGAAGCGTGATCTTGGACGAAACAAGACAGCCTACGACCAGACCAACAGTTTTCACTCCAGGTCCTTCACCAAGTAAGTTATCTCTCACGTAGTCTTTAGTAGTTCTTTTTCGGGCTGCGCCGAACTTCTTATGAGGTCCCCGTGCCTAGGGGACGCGCCGGTATATGGGACTTGACGATCTGCTGATGTTAGAAGCTGACCGTGGGTCCAAGGATAATTTAGGGCCCTATCGCATCAAACGACACCCTGCACTCAAAAACAGAGATAACCTGATGCAGTACACTAGTTTATTTTCCGCGAAACATTAATTTGAATTAATAATTGAAACCATATTTTTGCTGTTAAATTATAAGTTAACATTTTTGTTAATTATATTAGGTAAGTTACTTTAAGTATATTACGTTACTCATAGTTTCATAGTAGCTTTTTTTTTTATTGCCCTTGTAGGCAGACGAGCATACGGCCCACCTGATGGTGAATGGTTACGGTCGCCCATGGACTTCAGCAACGCCAGGGGCAGAGCCAAGCCGCTGCTTACCGCTATACGTGTTATCTCCATCAAATACTCTAATAACTACCAATGGAAAATATAAGACAATATCTACTTGCGGATAAGGTTAGCTTCAAGCAAGATAATGAGCATTCCGAAATAAGCCGAGCTTTTCAACGTATCACTGATAGCTTCCACACATCAACAGCTTAAGGAATGTTTAATGCGCTATCGAAATGATAGTCTTTTCTCTTGTGCCAGGTGAAATTCCTGCTGGATGCGCTGCTGCCCTCAAGTGTACTCCTATCGAATTCTGCACAGCGGAAGGTGTCATCTCAAACACTTCAGTCATCCTGAGTCGCGAACAAGACGCGTACCGAGTACCCTTGACAGTGAGTTCTTAAACTACTTAGAAAAGTAACCTACAGGACAATAAGCACACGATAAACATAGTTTCTGGACGCCTTATGATATTTAAGTCTGAAGAAGTTTGAAGTCGTCGTGACCTAAAGGATAAGACGTCCGGTGCCTTCGTGTTGAGCGATGCAATGGTGTTCGAATTCCGCAGGCGGGTACCAATTTTTCTAATAAAATACGTACTTGACAAATGTCCACGATTGACTTCCACGGTGAAGGAATAACATCGTGTAATAAAAATCAAACGCGTAAAATTATAATTTGCGTAATTACTGGTAGTAGGACCTCTTGTGAGTCCGCGCGGGTAGGTACCACCACCCTGCCTATTTCTGCCGTGAAGCAGTAATGTGTTTCGGTTTGAAGGCTGGGGCAGCCGTTGTAACTATACTGAGACTTTAGAACTCATATCTCAAGGTGGGTGGCGGCATTTACGTTGTTGATGTCTATGGGCTCCAGTAACCACTTAAAACCAGGTGGGCTGTGAGCTCGTCCACCCATTTGTGTAAAAGTTAACTCAACTTTGCATGGAGGTAGAACAGTAGTTACGTTAATAATGGCACAAAGAAGCTAATCTTTGTCAATATCATTATGAGCCCTAGAAGGCCGCACCCAAGAAAATGCTTCTCATCACCGTTCTCTCCAGGACTGCAAAGACCTGGGGTCGGGTCGTATCGGGAAATGCTGCCGCGATCCCTTCTACACTGATCCATGGCCAACGAACCAGCTGGGCAAGTGGGTTCCCGGCGTCTTCGGAGGCAACGACGGCAAATACGTACCAGACAGTCGCGTCAGCCCGTCTACTAACGTGCGACCTCAAGTCACCGGCAGACCCCCCACCTCTCCTTCCACTGGATCAGTCATCTTGAACAACTTCAGGTGAGTTAGTATGATTTAATGTTACTAGTGGTCCCTCTGTAGTCGAAACTCGACTATAATTAATTGGAATTGTAAGTATGTACACTATTATGATTGTATTTTATACTTCTATAATCACAAATTTCGCCAAGGCTACACTATAAAAACATCCGTAAAAACCACTGTAGATTTATATATTAGTACGAAAATATAATATTTTTATTGTTTAGTTGGGTGGACAAGCTCACCGTGCACTTGGTGTTAAGCGTTTCTTCCTAGTCGGATACTCTTGGCAGAGTATTCATGGCTGTAGATAGACACTTAGTGGTGGTAGGACCTTGTGAGTCCGTACGGGTAGGTACCACCGCCCCGCCTATTTCTGCCGTAAGCAGTAATGCGTTTCGGTCTGAAGGGTGGGGCAGCTGTTGTAACTATACTGAGACGCATTTATGTTGTAGATGTCTATGGGCTCCAGTAACCACTTAACACCAGGTGGGCTGTGAGCTCGCCCACCTATCTGAGCCATAAATAAAAAAATAAAAAAGTTCATTAAGGTTTCGACTTCTACAGATATCAGTAGGTGATAAGTGTGTTATGATTTAAGTGAAGTGATTTTACAATGATGTTTAGTTCCGACGCTTTTGCACACGTAATGGCTATTTCGTTGACGCTTCTTAAGAACAGGTGACCCTCTCCCGGATCTACAAGGGCTATGATTATGAAGTAGCAACACTAATATCTACCACATAATAATAATAATAATGCTTTCTTTGTTCCATACAAAAATACTGAACTACAAACAATTTGAACATTCATTAATGTTTTTTTTTTTTAATTAAAAAGTTAACAAAAGTTTAAAAAGTTAATTAAGAAGATAGTTTAGGACTAAAATGTTAGTTTCTTATATTCATTTTAATATTATTTAAATAAATAATCTACCACATAACTACCCCTAATCTTTACCTACAATTTACATGGTGCCATTTTTACAACTATAATTGACTGCTAGTCAGGGGAAGGGCATTTTGGGAGACACATGAAATGGGAGAAGTTTAATGTCTATTTGTGCCGTGAAGCACTTGTCGTGTTACAATACGACTGTGACCTCATGTCTTATGGCGGAAGTCGACATCCGTGCTATAGTGCCCATGGGCATTCCCGATCCTGCGGAAAGAATGGAAAGCAGTCGACGTCGCCCCAAACACGTCATCTCGGATCCTCCCGATCCACTAACGGTGCTTCTAGGTACTTCAAGCACCGGTCACCGTTCTCGTCGAACCCGTCGCTTGTGACGAAGGGCTCGACGAGTAAATTAACCCTCAGACACAGCCCACTGAGTATCTCGCCGGATCTTCTCAGTGGGTCGCGTTTCCGATCCGGTGGTAGATTTTGCGAAGCACGGCTCTTTCTAGGGTTCGTGTTAGCAACGTCGTCAGGTTTGAGCCTCGTGAGCTCACCTACTAGTGATGGTTACGCTGATATAGCCTCTCAAGGCTATCAGCTTAGGCAGGAAAAAAAAATGTGCCCATGGGCTTTATTAACTGCTGATCATCAAATTACCAAAAGCTCCTCAAAGACAACGTGTAATCAATCTCTTGCTACCAACAGGAATACCCCTAAACCAATTTCACCAACACCTGGACCCAACCAACTGTCTCCTGGTTACCCGTCGAGCACCCTGGCTCCTGCCTTCGTGCAGAAGAATCAGTTCAACCAAGGATCGTACGGTCAGAAGGGCGTTGGGCAAGGCAGCGTTATCGGAGTTGGACAAAACGGCCAAGGTAAGCAGTTGACTATCATCAAACTCCTTCCGTGATACCAGCGTCGATTTTTGGCGTGAAATTTCCACGCGTTTCATATTTGTGGGGGGAGCAACTGATATATTACTAGATGAGGCTCCTGGACGAGCGCAGAGAACCAAACATCTTCAAGTGAGCTATGTATCTTGGACAATTAAAACAAAATTATAAAACAAGATAAGTTTTGGGACTTCTTTTTCCTTATTCCTTTCTCTATCCACCATTCACACCATCGGTTGACGGTGCGATAAAAATAGATGCCGGTGTAAAGAACAATAAGCTGTTTTTTTTCTCCCCTACCTATGCTGATAGGTAGGTGAGCTCACGGGCCTCAAACCGGAAGTGTTGCTAGCACTGGCTCTAGCAAGAGCAGTGCTTCGCGGAATCTACCACCGGATCGGAAATGCGACCCATTGAGAAGATCCGGCGAGAAACTCAGTGGGCTGTGTATATGGGATAATAAGCTGTAATTATTGTTGATCAACATAAAGAGTAGACTATATTCACACTACCTGAAGCCACTGCGTTCATCCAGAGTGCGTTTCCAGAGATATCTTTTACCACGTACCATCCGGTTTTGAAATGAGCTCCCCTCCACGGCGTTTCCCGAGCGCTATGATATGTCCTTCTTCAAATGAGGCTTGTGGAGAGTATTAAACTGTAGGCAGCGGCTTGGCTCTGCCCCTGGCATTACAGACGCTCATTGACGACGGTAACCACTCACCATCAGGTGGGTCGTATGCTCGTCTGCCTACACGGGCAATAAATAAAAAAGTAACACTCTTACAAAGTAGCTAATGAGAAAATTGAAATGTGCACCAACGAATTACGGAGTGAGTCAATAATTTTATCATGTGCTCAGTTTCAAATACATACATTTAAATTCAAAACATTAAGTACATAATATTATTTGCTTATTTAGTTGTACCAACAAAGTGAAGATCATTGTAAAACATCGACAAATTGACAAGAAGTACTTTTTTTTTATTGCTTAGATAAGTGGACGAGCTCACAGTCCACCTGGTTTTAAGTGGTTGCCGGAGCCCATAGACATCTACAACGTAAATGCCGCCACCCACCTTGAGATATGAGTTCTAAGGTCTCAGTATAGTAACAACGGCTGCCCCACCCTTCAAACCATCACCTTCAAACCTTCATATAATATTTGACATTTTGAAAAAAAAAGAATTGAGATTATTGAATAAAAATACAAGGAAATATTTAGAAAAAAAAATATTATTCAGAATAATACATTTTCAACAAATAACAAAAAAAAAATTGCACCTAATTAGAGAAGAAAATATAAATGAAACTTGTTTATATTCGATCAGATTAATTGTCATTTTATGATTAAGAGAAATTATTATTGGTTTGGTATATTAATTACTTTTTATCTATTTAATTAAATTATATAATAATTTTAACTTTTGTATAGACAGAAAAGTCATCTGAAATTTCTCATACACCTTACTGTGGCAAATATGCTTTTATTTTTATTTTTTGTTAACGTATCAACGTCGCGTCATACATTGATGGCTGTGGCCAACGATGACGTCATATCGTACGAACCAATAACAAATCAGGAAACGCAATAGTGGCACCAATTGTCAAAATTATTACACTAAGAAAAAATATGGACGCGCATGTCAATTTAATATTTGTAAAATACTTAAAAATAATATAATCAGTATTTGAAGAAGTAAACGCATTTATTCATTTTCCTGGCCACCTCAAGATGCCTCTAAGAAATAGACGCAACATTTTTTTTAAATTAATTGAATGAAAAATAAGATTCTTCGGAAATTTCATGTTATTACAACAGCTGCCAATCAGCGCTAATCACCTTATTTGAATGATATATTGATTTTATGGAAGCAATAAAAATTGAAATTTCCGAGCGATGATAAACGTTGACAAGTTTATGACGCGCAGGGTTGCCAATTAACGAAATTAAAATCGCTAATTTGTCGCTTCGGAAAATTTTGTTTTTTGCCAAGTAGTTTGTTTTGAAAACGATCGAAGGTCGGACTAGGAAGCGTATGAATAAAGATTTTTCACGCAATAGTCAGCAATAGTTGTAAGGTTAGTTTTTATATAGATTAAATTCACTATTTTACTGGTGGTAGGACCTCTTGTGAGTCCGCGCGGGTAGGTACCACCACCTTGCTTATTTCTGCCGTGAAGCAGTAATGGGTTTCGATTTGAAGGGTGGGGCAGCCGTTGTAACTGTACTTGAGACCTTAGAACTTATATCTCAAGGTGGGTTGCGTATTTACATCGTAGATATCTATGGGCTCCACTAACCACTTCACACCATACGGGCTGTGAGCTCATCCACCCATCTAAGCAATAAATAAAAAATTGTTTTCCAAATAAAATAAAATAAAAAATTGTGAGAATCCCGTAGGTAGTCCGCTTTCAAAAACTAAATAGAAATCTCAATTGAAACAGAAAACATAAATCATTTAGCTTCACTGAAATGTCGCTGACTTGCCGATAGTGATAATTTACATTAATATAACCATAAAAAACCTAATTAAACACAGCTAAGCAAATCGTTTTTGGACTGGCAACCTTATTTCGCGCATCGCTTAAAAAATCTTTCGCAAGTTCTAAATAGAGTAGAATTGTGGTCTTGATTAAAAGATGTTAATTCCGTAAAGATTCAAGGATGCGCGTCTGATATTAGATGACAAAGCGAAATAATTTCTAATCGATAGTGAATCAATTAATATTATTCTAAAGCAGGACATTAGAAGGATATTGAGCTAAAAGATATTTAAATAGAACAGCGAGCCAAGCTACTATGCCGAATTCAAAAAATCCAGGAAATGTTTCTAAGCAAATGTGGTACACTATTATTTATTATTTATTTATTTATGTACACACAAAAAAGAAGACATAGTACAGAGTAATAGGAAAATTATGTACAAAGGCACTGCTTATTTCTTTAAGAAATCTCTTCCAACAGACCTGCGAGAGGATTATGAGAATAATAATTAAAAGTGTTGAGTATGTGTAGAACAGCTAAAATAACAAATACAACATGATAATTATAGTAAAACACATTACATGAGTAATGAAAGAAGCGTTACATGTTCTTTTTATTGCCCTTTTAGGCAAACGACCATACGTCCTATCTGATGGTGAGTGATTACTGTCGTCCATGGACGTCAGCAATGCCAGGGGCAAATCCAACCTACTGCCTATCGTTAAATGTTTTAAAATGAAATATAACAATATCAATCAATATACAAATATACAAATCTTGGGCCGGAAATTCGTCCATTATATCTTCAGATGTCCTATTAGTTTGAAGTTGTATTCATCCGTTAAATCTCCTGCAGGTAACCAAGGCTCTTATGGCCAAGGTTCGCAATTCACGCAAACCTCATCATCGAGAGGCCAAGGACAGTTCCCAGGTGTTGGCCAAGGACAGTTCCCAGGTGCTGGCCAAGGGCAGTTCCCAGGTGCTGGCCAAGGACAGTTCCCAGGTGCTGGCCAAGGACAGTTCCCAGGTGCTGGCCAAGGGCAGTTCCCANTTAAATCTCCTGCAGGTAACCAAGGCTCTTATGGCCAAGGTTCGCAATTCACGCAAACCTCATCATCGAGAGGCCAAGGACAGTTCCCAGGTGTTGGCCAAGGACAGTTCCCAGGTGCTGGCCAAGGGCAGTTCCCAGGTGCTGGCCAAGGACAGTTCCCAGGTGCTGGCCAAGGACAGTTCCCAGGTGCTGGCCAAGGACAGTTCCCAGGTGCTGGCCAAGGGCAGTTCCCAGGTGCTGGCCAAGGGCAGTTCCCAGGTGCTGGCCAAGGAAAGTTCCCAGGTGCTGGCCAAGGCCAGTTTCCAGGTGCTGGCCAAACCGGGATACAAGGAGTTGATGTTGGCGTCACTCAAGGATTTGGCCAAGGTGCCTCCCAAGGAATTGGCCAACAAGCCATTTTCGGTCAAGGAAACAGAGGCCAATTTGGCCAAGGCACCCAGACTGTCTTCGGACAAGGACAGGTACGTTGTTAAACCAATTTTGATTAATTAGTAAATGACTACCAAATTAGTAGTCAAACTTTAATTGATGCACAAAAGATTTTAGTATTTCATCTTCCAAATAGGGGGTCAGCCAAAAAAAAGGTTTTGGAGTCTCTCAAGGCGCTGGAGTCGGTATCAGGAACCAAGGAGCCGGCCAAGGTACACGTGTTACCTCTGACCAAGGCCAAGTATACGACCAAGGTGTTGTCCAAACCGTACAACAGGGCGTCGTCACCGCAGCGCAGCAGGGCGCAGGACAAGGAGTTAAGTACGGCCAAGGTCAAGGCTTCCAACAAGGAGGTGGCGTTAGCGTCAGTCAAGGAAGCTATGGTCAAGGAGAGTCACAGGGTGCCGGCATCAGTGCAAGCCGTGGCTCCGGACTGGCTGTCAATAAAGGAGCTGGCTTCGGAGTTAACCAAGGCACCGGTCAAGGCCAAAGTGGAGGATTCGGTGTTAGTCAGTCTACCGGTCAAGGTTTCAGTCAAGGCACTGGTTTAGGTGTCAACCAAGGAACGGAAGAAGGAATTATCCAAAATGGCGGTTTCGGGGTTGTCAGAGGATCTGGAACTGCCATCACCCAAGGAGGTGGATTTGCAATCAGCCAAGAAACAGGTCAAGAAAGCAGCTTCAGGGTTAACCAAGGTAGCGCTGGACAAGGAATATCTCAGAGCGGTGGCTTCGGAAACGGCCAAGGTGCGGGTCAAGGAGGCTTCGGGCAAGGTGGCAGCTTCGGTGTTGTTCAAGGAGGCGGATTCGGAGTAAGAGGTCAAGGCTTTGGCGTGAACCGCGGTGTAGGCATCGCGGTCACAGGTGGTCAAGGAGAAGCGATAAATCAAGGTAAGTGTTCTCATTCGAACCATACATAATTCTAAACAATAATATTATATTTGCCGTTGTAACTATAATTGAGACCTTAGAACTTATATCTCAAGGTGGGTGGCGCATTTACGTTGTAGATGTCTATGGGCTCCAGTAACCACTTAACATCAGGTGGGCTGTGAGCTCGTCCACTCATCTAAGCCATTAAAAAAAAAAATGATATCAAGGTGGGTGGCGCATTTACGTTGTGGATGTCTATGGGCTCCAGTAACCACTTAACACCTGGTGGGCTGTGAGCTCGTCCACCCATCTAAGCAATAAATAAAAAAATGTATTATTAAACATTAACATGCGGATGTGTCGAGAGGTGGGGGTATGTTTCTTTGAACTCCGTACCGTATGTAAGTTGTTATGTTATTACTCAAATTGTTACTTTAGATTTGACCTCCAGGCAAAACGGCACGTTTAAATATAGTTAACTGCCATAACTATTTGGTTATCTCTAGCAAAATTACTTAGAATATAAAAACATCGTTCCAGGATTCTTTTCGGGGTCATATTCTTATTTCTTTCACTAGAGTGCCGCCTTTTTCGTGCAGTTATCGAGTTATCGAGGTGGTTTATCTGGAGCTAAGTAGTCACCGGAGTTCATAGATATCACTGGATCTACAACACGCGATTGATTCGCGGTCAAAATAGGCAGGACGGTGTTACCTACCCGTGCAGTCTGACACTATTCTACCACAATTAAATTTGTTATTATAGTTTTTTCAATTTGCCTAATTACTGGCCCGTTAGATTAGGTATCACTAACCTAGCCTATTTCTGCGGCAAATTAGTCACACCTTCCGGTTTCAAGAGTGGAAAATCCGCTGAACCGATATCCTCCTCATATGGTCCCTTAAGCTCCATTAGGAAACGAAGCAATAAATCGAAGAAGTCTTCAATTTGAAATTTACCTTTAACCTCCTAATAACAAAGCTCATATGAGCGGTGTTTAGAGATGAAGTATAAAGCCAGAGGAATGACACATTAAATTGAATCCTCGCCCGATGTAGGGATACTGTTTTTCTAGTCTATAGTTAGTTAATTATAAATAGTTAAAAAAATTAGTTAATTGATACCTTTTTTACGCTACTGTGTCTGTCATTCTCATTTCCTTTTCTTACCGTTTTCTCTAACTCACATTTTAACTTTCATTCCACGCTCTTTTTATATAAGCTCCGTTCTTACCAATCCTATATTAATATGGTTTAAATTCTCCTAAGCGTAGCTTTTACTGTTTGTTCATATACAGGCTTTGGCCAAGGTGTTTACAACGGCGGTGGTTTCGGTACGGGCCAGCGTCTGGTCTCCGGCCGAGGGCAAGCGCTCGTCCAGGGCGAAGGTCAGACAGTCATCCAGGGAGTCGGCACCGGGGTCAGACAAAGCCAGGGTTTCACCGTCACACAGGGCAACGGCGTTGGAGTCGAGAATGAGTACAGTGCCTCAACGCAGCGGGTGTTCTTGAAGAGATACTCCGGCGGTGGACAATGTGGGCTTTTGAATGTAAGTACCAGAAAAGTATGCCTTAAATCCAAGGTTCACAATACCATTGAAGTGTTAATACTGTACTACTGACTAGTGAATGGGAATCTTATGAGCCCGCGCGGGTAGGTACCACCTCCCTGTCCATTTCTGTCGCTAAGCAGTAATGCGTTTCGATTTGAATGGGAAAGTCTCAATACGGCATTAACGTTGCTGATGTCTATAGACTACGGTGAGTAAGTTGACAAAGGAAATTAAAAAAAAAACTTAATTCCTTCATCTAAGAACTTAAGACGGCCGTGTTATTTGTAAATTCATGATACAGCTTTGGGAGCCGCGAATAATGAATGATTAATTTGAATTCTAATCACGTCTGATTTACCTATTTTTGTCGGACGCCATCTAAGAACCACTAACTATTAAGATAAATAATGTAAACACACATAATGAACAAAGGTCACGTGAAGTAATAATTCGAAGATTCAATTAATTAACGGTCAAACTTTAATATATTTATATTTGCTCAATCATATCTGGCTTTAAGGACGGCAGTGATCATTACGAAACGCTACGATTAGTTTCGACAAAACGAAATCTCCTCAAGAAAAAAATATTTCGGATTTCGAAATAGCAGCGGCGAGATCATACCGCACAATGGTCGAAAGCGACCAGAAAGTTATTCTGTTAGAATCACGCGGCCGCGTCGAGGAATCCGCGATGGCATGTGTTAATAAATCGAACTATTACTGGTGGTAGGACCTCTTGTGAGTCCGCGCGGGTGGGTACCACCACCCCGCCTATTTCTGCCGTGAAGCAGTAATGCGTTTCGGTTTGAAGGGTGGGGCAGCCGTTGTAACTATACATGAGACCTTAGAACTTGTATCTCAAGGTGGGTGGCGCATTTACGTTGTGGATGTCTATGTGCTCCAGTAACCACTTAACACCAGGTGGGCTGTGAGCTCGTCCACCTATCTAAGCAAAAAAAAAAAAAAAAAAAAACTAAATGGTCCGCACAAAACTCCTTTAATGCAAAATTAATTGTGCACGTACACCACAGACAAATGTAAATGACGCCACAGGAAGAGAGAAAAACGCGGGACTTTTGACAGATGTCAAGTTCTAGCGCGTTTTGATACACGGTGTCATATTTTTTTTCCCTACCTATATAGCCTTGAGAGGCTATTTAAGCGTAACTTTAACTAGTAGGTGAGCTCATCAGGCTCAAACTGGAGTGATGCTAGCACTGACCCTAGCAAGAGCAGTGCTTCTTAGAATCTACCACCGGCTCGAAAACGCAACCCACTGAGAAGACCCGACGAGAAACTCAGTGGGCAATATCACATGTCAAGTTGACATTGGCAGAATTGTGGTGTTACTGCCACAAAGTCCATTTACCAAAGATTTAATTGAATCAAATCTTTCCTAGCATCATGCTTTAAACACTAGCACTGCGGGAAAAGTGTGCTTAGTGCGAGGTTTTTAACGTTCTGGATAGCGTAAAAGTTAGCTCTCAGTTTTATATTACGGAATATTTGAACGAAATGTTCACTAACATAAGCTCTAATTTGGCTCGACAATTTTTCTGTATACGTGTTACGGTGTACTATTTGTAATTCAGACTAAGAGTGTGCTTCCATCGATCGGATATAAGATTTAGCCAATTTCTCACAAGTTATATATTCGTTTCTATTATTAAAACAGCCCCAGAAACCATACGGCAACCGGAATGATCTAGAAGTAGACTTCGCGGAGATACCCTGGCAAGCGATGGTGCTCCTCCAGACCAACAGGAGCCTGCTGTGCGGAGGAGTCATCACCAGGCCTGAGGTGGTTGTCACTTCAGCATCATGCGTCGATGGGTAAGACATGTTAACCATGTTCTTATCTTTTCTCGATCCTGAGGAATGNCAGCCCCAGAAACCATACGGCAACCGGAATGATCTAGAAGTAGACTTCGCGGAGATACCCTGGCAAGCGATGGTGCTCCTCCAGACCAACAGGAGCCTGCTGTGCGGAGGAGTCATCACCAGGCCTGAGGTGGTTGTCACTTCAGCATCATGCGTCGATGGGTAAGACATGTTAACCATGTTCTTATCTTTTCTCGATCCTGAGGAATGAATGATGATGAAGAAGAGGTAACGCAGCACTGAACCAGTTTCTGAGACCTTTAATTAGAAAGGACTGGGTTGGATGTCGGACGCAGAACTGGGCGGAAGCAATATTATTGTTTAATGTCTTGTACAAACATATTCTAAAGTAACTTCAATCCAGTAACTGATAGAACATATTCTAAATTAACTTCAATTCAGCAATTGAAAATTTATTTTTGAACCAGTTAAACTGAGTAGTAACTTTTCGCTTTCATTGTGGGTGTGTGAATAAAATTGCGTGGATTCTTAGATAATTCTACAGAGAAGCAAGATAGTTAAATAAATACAAGTAGACCTTAGATAAACAGAGACAGGCAAGTTTCAATAAAATAGATGGCAGGGGAACAGAAGGCCCATGTCAACTGGTCATCAACTGTCAACATGGTCAAGGAAAAATGTCGATGCAGTTTTCCATGGGTATTAGGCTACCTTTTATCGCAAAAAAAACATCTAGGTCACTATCGACATAATCACTTAAAAAAATCATGTCACATTGTTTTGACTTGAAAGAAGGGCATACAAACACATTTTCGCGCATATAATATTATTATGGATCTTAAAAAGCGCCCCTTTGATCATAAATTACATAGAAGTTAACTTACCAACTTGTTGTAAAGCGTTGTTTTATAGAATCTCACTCTTACACAGGCTGGACGCGAAAAACGTTCTGATCAAAGGCGGAGAATGGAAACTCGGGATTGACGACGAGCCCCTCCCCTTCCAAATAGTCCAGGTTAAGACCATCATCCGCCATCCGGAATACAAGAAGGGAAGCCTGAAATACGACGCAGCCATACTGGTGCTCTCGGAGAATCTGCGGTTCGCGAAGAACATCCAACCGATATGTCTCCCCGCAGCCGGAGAGACCTTGGACGCGTATTACAATGGAGCTGGAGAATGCATGGTGACTGGCTGGGGAAAGATCGTCTTGCAAGGTAAGAAGAAGTTTGTGTCGCTTAGGTCACGTAGATTTGACTTTTTCCTCCTCACTGTTTACTATTTATTTGGGAATTAGCGCAATCTATCCAAAATATCAATGTCAAAGATAGAAAGACCAAACAAGCTTCCACCATCCACAAGTCACACGAGCAGACAGTGAACATGCAATCAAATATGACTTAAAAACTAAAAATCGATCAATTAAATCTAGATCACCTCGCAAACACACAAAAATCGCCTTTGGCTATATCCTTCTTTATGAATTGACTAGCGACCCGCCCTCGCTTCGCTTCGGAAACATTAAAACACACATGAAACCAAAAAAATAAAATAAAAAAAAAGTAGCCTATGTTCATCAGGGACAATGTCGGCTTCTAATGGAAAAAGAATTTTTCAAATCGGTCCAGTAGTTTCGGAGCCAATAGAAACAAACAAACAAACAAATCTTTCCTCTTTATAATATTAGTATAGATATAGATTTATAATCTTTACGAATTGATCGAAGAAAGATGTCAGCGTTGTAGAAGTTCGTATCGTGTAATAATATGGCGTAACGCATCGAACCCGTCGCTTGCGACGAAGGGCTTAACGAAACGAACTAAGGGCGAAATTAACCCACAGACATAGCCTACTGAGTTTCTCGCCGCATCTTCTCAGTGGGTCGCGTTTCCGATCCAGTGTAGATTTTTTTTATTTTTTTTTATTGTTTACATGGATGGACGAGCTCACAGCCCACCTGGTGTTAAGTGATTACTGGAGCCCATAGACATCTACAACGTAAACGCGCCACCCACCTCGAGATATAAGTTCTAAGGTCTCAATATAGTTACAACGGCTACCCCACCCTTCGAACCGAAACGAATTACTGCTTCACGGCGGAAATAGGCGGGGTGGTGGTACCTACCCGTGCAGACTCCCAAGAGGTCCTACCACCAGTGATTACGCAAGTTATAATATTTGTGGGTTTGATTTTTATTACACGATGTTGTTCCTTCACCGTGAAAGTCAGTCGTGAACATTTGTCAAGTACGTATTTCATTAGAAAAATTGGTACCCGCCTGTGGGATTCGAACACCGTTGCACCGCTACGTACGAATGCACCGGACGTCTTATCCTTTAAGCCACGACGACTTTTTAAAACTAATTAATTAATTAAAATCCTAATTAATTAAACTAGTCAACCGATGCTCAAGTAATAACACACCGGTTCATATTAGAGATATTTTTGTAGCAGATCCATCGCATAGTTGATGCTACAGACATATTACATTACTTCCTACAATATTTACGAGTCGCCGGGAGGCTTTAATCGAAAATCGAAACAATGAGCCAACAAATAAGGTTCTTTTTTGAAATTGTTTGAGATGATTCCATCGTCTCGTTTCTACCATCGCACCGCCCGCCGCCGGAGTAGAGTTCATCCATACTACCTGGAGCCACTGCGTTCATCCACAGTGCGTTTCCAGAGATCTTTTTTGCCACGTACCATCCGGCATGTCGTTCTTCAAACGAGACTTGTGGAGAGTGCTTAACGGTAGGCAGCGGCTTGGCTCTGCCTCTGTCATTTCTAAAGTCCATGGGCGACGGTAACCACTCATCGCCAAGTGAGCCGTACGCTCGTCTGCCTACACGGACAATAAAAACAATTACCGAATAATATTATCGGTTTTTGAGTGATAATATGTTTGTTGACTTCGTTGCTGTTTCGAAGCGATGTTTCTTCTGGCGTCGGAAAGGAAAGCATAAGTGTTAATACTGAGACGTCGACTATTTGGGTCAGTGTCGGTCGTGTACCGATAGCAAAAAAAACATGAATTAAAAAAATATGTTATCTTTATAATATCAAGAAAATAATTTTTTTTTCACAAGTCCAATATTGGTGGCGTCTCCATCTTGAGACATGACATCGAAATATCAATTATAATCGTGCTGACAACAGCGACAGTAAATGTATAATCTAAAGCTTGTATATTCATGTATATCTTGTAGCTTGTGTATAACTAGTGTACGACTATTCTTTATATCTTTCTCGATTTGACGTAACGAAATAACTCTATTTTTAATTTGATCTCATAAATACCTAATCCAATTCTAGATAAATCACAACAAAACAAAACAAAACTGCCAATTAAAGTCAAAATTTACAACACACGTCATAATAAACATTTTATATTTACGATCTGTCGAACGAAATTAAAGCAATTTTTTTTTTATATATTCTATATCGTGCCTTCATATAAATGGTAATATGTTCTTTTTTTTCGTTTCTAACATAGAATATTAATGCGATATTTATTCATTTTATCGTTTTGTATGTAAATTATCGATTGGCCTTGAGATCACCGCGTCTTTGTAACGTGAACGCCCACACGAAAGCAAATTTAATGAGATTCGATTAAGAGGAATTCCCAAAAACGTATAATCAAATTTAAGAATACATCGGTCCGTGGCTAATTGCTGACGAGGGCATCAATTCAGTCAAATAAATACGTAACGTGTGTAATAGCAATGTGTCAATAATCAATTAGTACGACAATTAAGTTGTGCTTTGGTTTTTTTCCCTAATTATTCGCTGGTAGCCTAAGAGGCTATTCTAGATACGCGCGGACGTCTAGGTGAGCTCACGTGCTCAACCTGAGAGAATTTGCTAACACTAGCCCTAGCAAGAGTAGTGCTTCGCGGAATCTACCACCGAATCGGAATCGCGATCTAACGAGAAGATTAACAATTAAAAAACTTCTGCCCATGCGCAACTTCATCACAATATAGTTCTTGCTTCTCTCTCCTTGCGTCGATAATCCTCAACGCTGAGGTTCGTAGCCTCATGAGGCTTTCTTGGTAAAATACACATGGTGGACTCCCGCGGTCCTTCCACGGCAGTGCTTTTGGAAGAAATTTAGTTCTTCCAGGCCGCTGAAGCCTTATTTGTGTCCGGCTAATTAACCGCTGTCAGACCATCGGCGTTAGCTGTTTTACGGTGGAAAGGTCGAACTCCAACTTAACAACCCTCCTTTTTATCTCATCCCGGCTTATCTGCTTAAGTACCCCTTATCAAAGTACTTTATTTACCTATATTTGTTATTTTCTTACATGAATGTTTAGTGTTAAATTATTTAAATTAAAAGTTAAATTCTTTGTCTGCTTCTTTTAAATAGATATTAAGTGCGTGCGTGGAAAATTCCGTCTACAACTTTGCGGTACTCACGAATCGAAGAATAGTTTTAATTTTACACAAAGAAATTATTGAGATGAGTCACCCGAATGTTTCCAAAACATTAATCGATGAAAAAAAAATTGGTATGCTTAAAAAAATCGTTACGTTTATGCATCAAGTACAAAAATTTAAACGACAAAAACAGGTTTGTCATCGTTTCTGAGCGATTCTTACATGTGAAATATACATAATATTATGCATGTATGTACATATGTTCATCGAACGGGGTTACGTAACGATTTTGACTCTAAAAGTGACGATACACGGAGACTAAGTAACTTCGAAAACCACTAGAGAACAATGAAGCGTCACTCGGGCAATCCCGCTGTCTCGTAAACACACAACACGTTTGTTTGGATCGACAGCGCTCCCTACTCGAGCAATCTCGCAGTCTCCTAAACAAAGAACACGTTTGTTTGGACCGACAGCCCTCCCTACTAGAGCAATCCCGCTGTCTCGTAACACACAACACGTTTGTTTGGATCGACGGCGCTTCCTACTCGAGCAATCTCGCAGTCTCCTAAACACAGAACACGTTTGTTTGAATCGACAGCGCTCCCTACTAGAGCAATCCCGCTCTCTTGTAAACACAGAACACGTTTGTTTGGATCGACAGCGTTGCCTACTCGAGCAATCCCGCTGTCTCGTAAATACAGAACATGTTTGATTGGATCAACAACGCTCCGTACTAGAGCAATCTCGCTGTCTCGTAAACACAGAACACGTTTGTTTGGATCGACAGCGCTACTCGAGCAATCCCGTTAACTCGTAAACGGAAATCTCACCCAATCTAGTCTCAAGAAATGTAGATTACATTTTTAAAAAAAGATACACAATAAATAGGTAACAGCGAGTAAAAAAATTTGGCTTGTAACATAACATTTGTATTGCTATAAACTACAAGCCCTTCGTTTTCTTGGCATAACAATTCACGTACATTTTTCGTTTTGAATATTCCAATCCCGCTGTCAGTCCTTCGTCTGTGACGCCACATTGTAAATTTATTAAACAAATAGGTCACGCCTACCGCGGACCTAAGCTTTTAGTAGCACGCGACGCACAGAAAGGTCATTCGTATGTGTTTGATAATCACATCGTATTATGAACATATTTTTTTTGTTAATGTTTCGTGTATGACATTCAAGAGTCGCCAGCCTAATGACGATACAATTTATAATCAGATTACTTACGTTCAATTGTTCTAATTACGATAAAGGTGAAAAATATAAAAAAAAACCGTTGACAACCATTTCTAAGTCACCGATGTTGTAATATAATCAAGAAATTACCAGATATAATAATCATCAGATATAATACACCTTAAGACATGAGGTCAAAGCCTCAAAGTATCGCGTTAACACTTCATAGCTCAAATAGGATGAATGTGATACCTAATCGCGCGAGTAGAAGATTTTATATGACATCCGAAATAATTATATTTCCGCGCTATTTCTGAGTTTAGTTATTAGGTTTTAAATCGCTTACTTTGTCTATGCACAAATACTGCAAAACGATTCAAAATAGAAATTATCGAAATTAATTGTTGTTACGCGAAAGGTCAACGAACCGAACACTTCTGACAAACTGACATTTTGACAAACGTCAAAAATGAGATATGTCAAAGTCGAGACTCGTCGATACAACATAAATTACACCATATTGTGTAGGGGACAAGTTGTAAAGTTGTCCACATGTAAACAGCAAGTGGCAAGACTCACTGAAATAGCGCTATTATTGGTGGTGGGACGTCTTGTGAGTCCGCACGGGTAGGTACCACCACCCTGCCTATTTCTATGGACTACGGTAACCACTTATAAACGGATGGACTGTGAGCTCGTCCAGCAACCTAAGCAACAAAAAAACAGAAAATAATAGTTTAGAAATTGGAAATGATGTGAATATACCAGTTTTAAACAGAGTGAAACGAGCTGGGTTGAAGTGAAGTGTGGCAGTTTATGGCGTGATTTTTAAACTCTTTCCACTTGCTATTGTGGCGCCATCTTCATTAACTCCCTTTCAGCGGACACTTTTTAATACACTAAGATGGTGCTCCTCACTTCTACCCTACATAGTTATTACAATATGTGCTCTGTCACATTGTTTTTGAACACGTTTCTGCTTGAAATTCAATCACGAATTGGAAATCGAATGCGAAAATGTATTTCGCCACAAAATATTGCCTAAGTGTAATTTTCAACGCCGCAATATTCATTCGGGTTCCCCTTAAATATGCAGATTGAACTATCTTGCATACAAATTTTATTGAATATATTCTTGTTCTCAGATATCAAGTGACGATAATCATACAATTAAACTGTTAGCTGATTCCCGTGGGACATATTTGTCTATTTAATTATGATGAACAATAATTGCAAACGCATAGATTAGTACCGACACACTTTTAAAAGTTATTTACCTGTCTATACCTAAATTTAGATATTTATAATATAAATATATATAAATTTAGGTATTTATTATATTTAGGTAGTACAGATAATACTGTATCAAATCGAAGGGTGAAATGCTATTTGTTTTAAGCGACATTTCGCTTAACGCGCGACATTTATCTTTGTAATTAAACAATTAATTAAACAAACAATTTGACACAAGTAATTAAACAAACAATTTATGTTTTTAATCGGAATACACACACATTCAAATAGCTAAACAAGTTTTTTTGTTATGATATTTTTTTTCAAATTTTAAACTTTAAATGGTTCCCCGGTAAAGTTGCAAAAATGTCGATAAAACCATGTAGCCTAATGCGAAATGGTTTAGTATGATAACGTTTGCATAATATTTTTAAAATTTTGTTTAGTATCTATATATTAATACGTGAAGCAAAAACTTTGTATCCCTTTTTACGAAAATTGCGCGGACGGAGGAGTATGAAATTTTCCACACTTATAGAGAATATAGAGAAGAAGCGGACAATGCTAATATTTTTTTAAAGTAATGCATAAAAGATACATTATATCAATAAAGAAAACATTACACACTCTACATACCATGTATTTGACGCACACACGCATGCATACTATTGATTGTCAAACTTTTGTCTGTTGTCAAATTGAGAATAGATTAAATATTGTTTGTCTTTGTTAATATTTTTTATAGTGTAGTCTTGGCGAAATTTGTGATTATAGAAGTATAAAATACAATCATAATAGTGTACAAGCTTACAATTCCAATTAACTATAGTCGAATTTCGACTACTGCGGGACCACTAGTTTCAACAAATTCATAAGTGTTTGTGCTTTTCATTGATAACTCAAAAATCCTCTTCGATGATTTTGTTTTAAGGCATTGTTATAATGAAGTCAACAATGAAAACAGACACCAAAAATCGTCATGTTTTTGCAATGATTTTTAAAGCATTTTCCAGGCACCTGAGAAACTAAAGATCGGGTCGATTCAGTTTACCACCAATTTTGAGAATATGCAAAGATAAATGATAAAATAGTGTTATTTGTATATATATTTATTCCACTAACATTCTAGAAATTCACATACGTGCCAAATATCAAGTTTATTCGCATTTATTCCCATTTATACCTACTGGCTCTCTTTATTTTTAATAATTGCTGAATACAAAATACAAAGCAGTTAATAGCAACGGGAGCTTTATTCCAACCGTATGTCCCTAAGACGCCTCACTCTTTTAATTAGTACTTACTAGTGGTCCCCCAGTAGTCGAAATTCGACCATAATTAATTTATATTATAAGATTGAAAATTATTATGGCTCTATTGTCAAAGACTATTTAGACTGCTGCAATCACAGATTTCGCCAAGACTACACTATAGACAAATAATATTAAAGACAAACAATATTAATCTGCTCTCAATTTGACCACATTAATCTAATAGGTGTATGACTCTAATAAACAATGAAAAAGAAAACGAAAAAAAAGTAAAACAAATACCACAAATTTTAAATAATAACAAAAGTTTGACAAAAAAATTATTATCCTATTAGGCAGACGAGCGTACGGCCCATCTGATGGTGAGTGGTTACCGTCGCCCATGGACTTCAGCATGCCAGGCGCAGAGTCAAGACGCTGACTACCGAACTGACAATGTCTTACAAATATTAACTTTCTGCACTCTTCTCTATATTCTCCATAAGGGTGGGAAATTTCATACTCCTCCGTTCGCGCAATTCTTATAAAAAGTGGTACAAAGTTTTTGCTTCACGTATTAATATTACTAGATGATGACCGAGCTTAGCTCGGCTTTTTTTTATAACGCCATCATGTTGTGTCTTTAAAGCAGTAAAAATAGTATTATTATTCGGATGTCGGGAAGAGTAATAAAGTTCAATTTCGATTTCGATTATCGATAAAGTTGATTATTGAAAACACGAATGAAACAACATTCCGAGATTCAGATTATATATATATATATATATATATATATATATATATACAATAATTGCTCGTTTAAAGGTATAAGATTATATAGATTATTAATAATATGCATCTCTAAAATACGATCGCACACAATAATGACGCGGCGATTGAGAATCACTATCACGAGGAAGCCAAATTTTCAAATCAATCACAAACGTCCATTCACAGAGACATTGACCAAATCTACGACCCGATAAAGATAACATTCATAGCTCGTCTCAAATTCAATTTATTTCAATGTTTATTTCGTGTGTACAATACGACCTTTACAACATCGTCATGTCATAAATCAATTTAGACAAAATGATTTCTTCCGTTTAAAATACAAAAAAAAACTTTAGGACGTTTTAAAATTCATTAATTACATTATCGATCTCCTATTGGGTGTACGTAAAGGCCAAAGCTCTGTGATAAGTGTTATATTGATATTTTTAGCGTATGTCGCTGGGTACTACCAATTGTGCTTTAAGCTCAGCCTAAATCTGTTTTACTTTAAAGTTTAAGTGGAACTTTATGTTTTTTTTCTAAGTATTCGCTCGTGGTCTAAGGCATTATTAAAGCTACTCGCGGAGGGATAGGCGGGCTCACGGGCTCAACCTGAGATAATTTGATAACAGTAATGCGTTTCGGTTTGAAGGATGGGGCAGCCGTTGTAACTATACTGAGCCCTCAGAACTCATATCTCAAGGTGGGTGGTGCATTTACGTTGTAGATGTCTATGGGCTTCAGTAACCACTCAACACCAGGTGGGCTGTGAGCTCGTCCAACCAACTAAGCAATAAAAAAGAATTAAAAAATTACAATTTCACAATAAAATTCTAATGTTCGTATTGTGATTGAACTACCTGATTAATCCGATCACGGCATGAAAATCCTCAGCGGTTTGTTAGTAAGCAGTGCGATCTTAAACCCGATCCGGCTTTTAAAACATTTAAAATTAACAGACGACATTCATTCGGTTACAAAATAAAAAAATCGTATACAATTTTGAAGTCACTCGTCATGTCCTTGCCGGATTCATACGTGATTAGCGCCCGCACGCGAATTATGTCGAATTCTTGCGTTGCGTTCGAGATATTAGTCGTGTGCGCTATGCAAAGAAATTCATATGTCCTCCGATCGAATGGATTTCGTAATACCGACCCCGATATGTTATTTATAGTTACTTCTTTACAAAACTATATAGCGCTGTTTAGGTATGTGTTAGCAATATGAATCACTTATGGTCACGAGAATTCGATTCCAAGCTTTTGCGAAATTCAATCTTCATTTTTGATTATTCGCACCGTTTGAATGAATACGTCTCAATCAATATATCAATTAATTTTCGAGTCATTTTTTTTTGGCAGAATTTATAGTTCATTATTTAAAATTAACATTATTATTTCTCACACCCACAAAGTTTCTCATCCTTAACGCCCCCGCAACTGGTGTAGGGAATCCAACACTCATATAAATATTAGCCTATCCATTAAGTACATGTATTTTCTACATGGATACTAAGTTTCAAGTCAGTCGGATGCACGGTTCAGTAGTTATAACGGAACATCCGTAAAAACCACTGTAGATTTATATATTAGTATAGATTACTTTGATTTATAGTTTTTTTGTTTCTTTTCAATATTCTCTTAAGTTATTTGGTGATTTAGTTTTATCGTGTGTCAAAATACCTTCTTATTGATCCCTTGCGTATTACTAAGTGTGCTTAGTGCGAGCTTTTTGACTTCCGATCGCGTAAAAGTTAACTCAGATTTGTTTTGAGTTGGAACAGCTTCCTTGCGTTTGCCGCTAGGGCCGCTGTTCCGACTCCATACAAATTTGAGTTAACTTTAACGCGATCGAGAAGTTAAAAACTCGCACTAAGCAAACTGGAGCTCGTGGTAACGTGACTACCGTTACAGTTCGAAGTCGCGAACAGTTCTTCGAGTGGTGTGGTTCATAACAATTACTTTCTCCCCAGCTCATCTGTCGGGAAGCATCATGCATTCTCTAAACGTTTCTCTCATCAATCCTGGTGAGTGCGAAGCCAAGTTGTCTCAGGACTACCCCCACCTGCTGGAGCAGTACGACCAGGATAGCTGCGCATGTGGGCAGCCCACCAACCCACTCAACAATATATGCAAGGTAATGACCCTGATAATAAACATACCGGGTAGGACCTCTTGTGAGCCCCCACGGGTAGGTACCACCACTCTGCCTATTTCTGCCGTGAAACAGCAATGCGTTTCAGCTTGAATGGCGGGGCAGCCGTTGTAAATATACTTGAGACCTTAGAACTTATATCTCAAGATGGATGGCGCATTTGCGTTGTAGATGTCTATGGGCTTCAGTAACCACTTAACACCAGGTGGGCTGAGAGAGCTCGTCCACACATCTAAGCAATTGAATTGATAATAATGTTCTATTACTACCTCTTTAGTGAACTTTTCCTCAAATGACTTACAGACATAGCTCTACAGTTTTACTATACGTGCTGCTTGTGGTATTTCCAGGTTGACATTGGCAGTGCCCTGGCGTGCACAACAGGAGACAGCCATTTCGTGCTACGAGGAGTCTACTCTTGGGACTCTGGTAAGCTCCATACAATCGTCTTTCGGAATGAGGTTTCCACAAGATTGAGGTCTAAAACCGATTGATAACAGATAGCATTTCTGTGACGAGACCAGAATACTTTGATCTCTCTGATTAATTTAAGATATAAAAATCGTTTTAAGCTCTTAAACTATTTAGACTGTAGTTTAAGAGGTATCAATGTTTAATTTTCCATTTCTTTTTTGTATATTTTCTACAATATCAAATTTGGATTCGTATGAAAAGGAAATTAAATTTCTTAACTGTCCTAAAGCATTCTTCATATTAATCTGATTTCGTTATGCATATTTACGCAATAAATATTATTGAGTTTGGTTGATTTTGTGAGCTGACCATACGTCGGCCTCATACCTCATACCTCAACTTTTATAGGCGACCTTTAAGCGTGTGCTATCTAACTTAGAATAAGCTTAAATAGCGCATCTACCTAATGCTAAAAGGTCAATGGAGTTCATACACCACCCGCCCGAACACATGAGGTCAAAGCTCTCAAATCTCTTGTAACAGCTGTCCCGGCCTTCAAACCGAAATAATTCTTAGTAAACGCCAGTTGTCGATCACGTAACCTAGTAAAACACCCTGGTAAAAGCCTCTGAACATCCTCCGAAGAAGCTCTTAGTCGCCTCACGACTCCTACGAAGACAGACAGGTGCTGATACCCTGGGCGGGTAGCTTATCAAACTAGACGTAGACCAAGCGACGAGTTTGGCCGCCAAAGTCCGTATACATCAAAACTCGGAATGGTACCACACAGCCGCACATGTGCTTATGTCCACCCGGCAATGCCATTGTCAGTGCCTAACGATATATTATTAATTTTTAGGTTGTCAGGTCGGTAACCAAATAGCGGGCTTCTACAAGTTCGACATTGAGTGGTACGAATGGGCCATAGGACTGATCGAGAGCGTTCGTTTCACTAAATACACGATCGGTACGAAGTTGACGCAGAGCAAGATCACCAGTCAAGTTTCCAGCGTCAAAACCAGTCAGTACACAGCCGGAGTTAAGGGCGTTAATGAAGTTGGTCAGGTTAAAGCTGACGGTTTGGCTCAGGGACAATTCGCTGTGAAAGACGACGGGTTCGCTCAAGGGCAATTCGCCGCTAAAGACGACAAGTTCGCTCTAGGGCAATTCGCTGCCAAAGGCGACGGGTTCGCTCAAGGGCAATTCGCTGCCAAAGGCGACGGGTTCGCTAAAGGACAATTCGCTGCCAAAGGTGACGGGTTCGCTCAAGGACAATTCGCTACCAAAGGCGATGGGTTCGCTCAAGGGCAATTCGCCGCGAACACCGACTCGAAAACCCAAGGTTTCACCGGACAATTCAACCAGTACGGAACTAAATTCTCCGAGGTCAAAGCCGGCGAGGGCATAAGCTTCGACACCCAAGTCAAGGGTCCGATATCGAACACTTTCAGCGCGACCTACACCGAGAAGAAGGTGTACCAGTCCGAGCCGAAGATAGTGACGTACACGACGAAACCAGAGATCGTGACCTTCACCACGAAACCGGAGTACTTCACTTACACGACCAAACCGAAAATCGTGCGCTACACGACCAAACCAGAGATCGTGACCTTCACAACGAAACCCGAATACTTCACTTACACGACCAAACCGAAAATCGTTACCTACACCACGAAGCCGCAACTCATAACGTACGAGACTTCTGGAAGCGGAACGAACCCCCAGTACGTGGCCCCGGGGGTGTCCTTCAACCCGTCCTTGACAGACGCCCTGCACAAACACGACGGCCAATGCAAATGCTTGGAGGGTAAAAAATAAACGTGACCTCGACAATTCAAAACGGAGTCGAAGTGCCATACAAATATAATTTATCTTATTTTCTCTTGTAAACGAATTCGACAGTACAAAGACACTCCAGTTCCTATGAGAGTTACCAGTTTTGAAAAAAAAAAATTATATGTATATATATTTACAGACAACGTAATTAATGTCGTTTTTTCATATTGTAATTCGTTTTTTTTTATGTATTTTATAACCATTTTTCAGAGTAGCATCTGTGCAGCTAATGATATTACCAAAATAATTGTGCTAATGTTTTTTTTTTTATATTGATTATTTAATAATATTCAAACCATATAAATGTTAGTAATCTTTCGGATTGTTTTTGCTTCAATTAATAACTTCATTCAATGCCGCTCCGTTATCGATACTGTAAATAGATAGGAAGGATATTTAATTATTATATTCAATTTGATATTATAATTTTATCTGTTTTATTGTGTCAGTTTTAAATATTATTAGTAACGGCTTTAAAAATACTGCCATTTTTTTTGTATTAATTACTTTCTATTTTCCGTTTCGTTTTTATTTTCTAACTAGAAAATTAGATTTTTGACCATTTCGATTCGTTAAGCTGCGACATGGTCGACTCTTTAATTTAAAAATAATTAAGTATTTTTGTATGATAATTATACTATGTATATTGGTATGTAAGAAACACGCGGACGGTTCATATTGAAACAGATAATATATTTTCTAATTATAATACATAAATAGGATTTATAATAAAAAAAAATCGAAATAAATGATATATTTTAATTAAAATTTAATTTTGTTTTATTCTGAAACTAAGTTGACGATTAATGTTATGTTTAGTAAGTAAATTTGATTTTTGAGAATTCGTTGAGGATTCAAAAGAAAATATGTGACATACACACAGGATCCCTGGTACACATTTCTTAATTTATTACTAACAAGCTGATTTTTCGTGAGTAGCTTCCTTTTGACTAGACGCCCAACTTTTTACCTTACAGTAACGTTGGTAAGTGGTAGCTTACTAGGGGTAGAAGAATAAAATATGTTGATTACACGAATTGAAAAAATTTATTACTAACCGAATTTTTGTTTGTTAATTATCGAGATAATTATCTAAATAACGTGAAAAAAATATTTGTCCTACAAAATATAAGGTTTTGTTAGGGAGTCCTCCCCTCTCCAACATGTATCATAAACAAGGTCATGAAAAATAATTACTAACCAGCTGAATTTTTTTTTATTGGTTAGCTAACATTTGAATAGTTTACCACCCACATTGTTCTACAAATTGCGTGGTACGTTATTCCAGTCCTCCAGTTACATAGTTGAAATAAATAAAATTAAAAATAATATTATTTTAGTAAGCTAGTAGTAAGCTAGTAAGCTACCATTTACCAACGTTACTGTAAGGAAAAAAGTTGGGCGTCTAGTCATAAGGAAGCTATTCACGAAAAAATTGCTTGTTAGTAATAAATGATGAAAAGTGTACCAGGGATCCTGTACTAGAAGATATATTTTGATAGAAACTGTTTGAATATTTGAAAAAGAGAGAGAGATAGAGTAAGTATACATAACGGCGTACGCACGATTTAAACAAACACCAATCAAAATGTATATTGATTTGTACTATACGCGGTCTTCACTTTAAGAGAAATCTTTTCTAGCCATCAACCATTTTCACATTTTGATTTTTTTATTTTTTTATTGCTTAGATGGTTGGACGAGCTCACAGCCCACCTGGTGTTGAGTGGTTACTGGAGCCCATAGACATCTACAACGAAAACGTCACCCACCTTGAGATATAAGTTCTAAGGTCTCAGTATAGTTACAACGGCTGCCCCACCCTTCAAACCAAAACTAATTACTGCTTCACGGCAGAAATAGGCAGGGTGGTGGTACCTACCTGTACGGACTCACAAGAGGTCCTACCACCAGTAAGTTTGGCGGAATCTCAGTAGACTACTTTATGTTAGAAAGAGAACGCTCTAGAAACTCTTTCTGAGTTGCAGGCGAGGATCGTGAAGTATTCTCTCTGGCTTAACCCAAAACGCACTCGCGCGTGTGGCTGTTTGAATTACATTTATGTTTCTAGATCCTGTGGTCATCTTAGATATTAAGTTATGTTTGTCACTGTATGGATGATGTATGCAGTTGACCAATAGATAGTGTTATTCAAAAACGTTGGGAGTTTATTTAATTAGTTAGCGTAGGCAATACGTCACACCGCCTTAGTTACAGCCGCCAACTAATGTTGTCTGAAAGGGTCAATTAATCATTCCTTAAAATTAAGTTATTTGTAAATACGTACAAAATATATTATAAAGCATAGATTTCAAATTCCAAACCAATTCCAATTCGGATGGAATTACTAGTAGCGACATCTACTGATAAAATTTTGAAATAAATAATAGAAAGTAGCTCTATCTGTTGTCGAATGCATTTATTATGTTTTTAGACATCTAGTGGTCAGTAAGTGTACTATTTAGAAAAGTACTCTTAAAGCTTTTTAACTAGTTCTTAATCTAATTTATAGATGGCGCAATTCAAATTTAACTCAAATTATTTTTGCGCCCTAAGACATTCCTTCTACCGAACACGCTACCTTTTCTTAAATTTCACTTTTTTTCCTAACTGTGCTTATGGCCTTGAGAGGCTATTTCAGCTTCTCCTTGACGTGTAGGTGAGCTCAGGGGGCTCAAGCCGGAAGTGTTGCTAACACTGGCCCTAGCAAGGGCAGTGCTTCACAGAATCTACCACCGGATCGGAAACTAGACCCACTAAGAATTTAATTTTTTAAGGTTAATTTACTCGTCAAGCCTTTCGTCGCAAGCGACGAGTTCGACGAGAACGGTGACCGGTGCTTGTGGTACCTAAAAGCACCGTTAATGGATCGGGAAGATCCGTAATGACGTGTTTTGGGCGACGTCGACTGTTTAACATTCGGTCCACAGGAACACAACAAACATTCCGAGTATTAGGAAAAGAGTACAAATGTTTAAGAGATTCGCTGAGGGTTTCGATATAATAAACACTGGAAGTACTTCTTAGTGTGAGTGTCTTAACGTTCTCGATAGCGTAAATATTAGCTCGTATTTGTATGGAATGGGATCGTTTGCGTATGTTTGCCGCTAGGGGCGCTGTTCCAACTGCATACAATTGGGCTAACGCGTACACTATGTAGAACGTTATAAAACTCGCACTAAGCATACTGATGCTATATTGAAACACCAAAATTATCACTGGATTTTAGTAATTCCACATGAATCGTTTTACAATTCTGAATGCAATCAACTACAGAAAATGACATCAAAGTTTTATGCATACATAATATACATAAACTAATTATAGATAAGCAACTCAAACACTCAACAAAAATGTTTAGGGGCATCGGCCACTAGATGGCTTCGCTTCGATTAGTATCTCATTGCTCCTATAGATTGCAGTAACATATTACCTAACCTATATTTTATTTTCAATGAAGAATTTTGTAAATTTTCAGACACCACAAATTGATAAAATTTAATCAATTTCTCTATAACAAATGATGTATGATCTTTTTGAAACGAAGTTCCTTATCGCGCGTTGTGAAAGGGGGCTAGACGGAAAAAATTCTTACGAAAAGTTGTCACGACACTTTTTATTTTTAGAGATACTACTGCCATCTATCAATTTTTATGGGAACAACTTAGACTGTTGAAATTATGGAATGAGTGCAACAGTTACTAACGCATCTAACATCTGTATTATATTATAATATGAATATCACACAATAATAATAGAGAAGTAATGAAATGTTTAGCAATTATAAAATTTGGTGAGTCACAAAAAAACAGCATTAAAATTATTTGGTCGGCGTACAAAGATTTTGTTTGCAATTAAAAAAATCAGGCAGCAATCCTTGTTGGAACAAACAGCAGAAGATTTTTATTATTTATGTATAGTCTTAGTATAATTAATGGCTATAGTGTCTAATGTATAGTCTACATGCTGACCGGTCATTATTATTATTCACATAAATAGCTGTTTCTTTGTATATTATTTATATTTATTTTTGATAAATCATTGTGAATAAAATGAAGTTGATAATGTAGTTTTTTTATTGTTATCAATAAAAAATGTATACCCGAATAATTATTTTCTTTATACCTCGAATATAACATAAAATTAATATTTTTATAATAAGGAAATTCGTTCCTGTCAATCAGTGTATTGAGTGCGTATGTCGTTTGGACATAGACTAAACGATAATTTCTTATATTGGTGGCAATGTCGCCGAAGCGTCACTCAAAATTCCCGTCAAATCACAACGTACAATAATAACACATTTCGCAAAATGAAAAAAGCTAAGAGTCCCGACCGACCTAAGCCGGACGTGAAACTGAGCGAAGACAGCTCGGCGAGTAGCAGCGCCCGGATGTCCCAGGAACACGCCCGGATCAAAAGCAAGCCGCAATACAAATCATTTTTATCTCCATACATCTCTGGCTCGGACGCTTCAACTTCAGTCTCAATCACTTCTCTTTCTTCGTCAATATCCAGGCGAGTCTTGTTGCCTAAATAACTTTATTCCGACGTCGTTGAGGAGAATTTACTGTCGACGTCGCCCCAAGCACGTCATTATGGATCCTCCCGATCCATTAACAGTGCTTTTAGGTACCACAAGCACCAGTTACCACAAGCGCAATTCCAAGTATTAAACATAGACAGAGACAGAGACATGACATGAAATTTATTTATTTATTTATTCATTTATTCATTCAATCTACTTACAAATTAACAGTATAAACCAAAACATTTGTAAGGTATTAATAATTACCTTTTTTTTATTTTTATTGCTTAGATAAGCAGCTCGTCCATCCAGATGGAGCTCACAGCCCACCTGGTGTTAAGTGGTTACTGGAGCCCATAGACATCTACAACGTAAATGCGCCACCCACCTCGAGATATAAGTTCTAAGATCTCAGTATAGTTACAACGGCTACCCCACCCTTCGAACCGAAACGCGTTACTGCTTCACGGCGGAAATAGGCGGGGTGGTGGTACCTACCCGTGCGGACTCCCCAGAGGTCCTACCACCAGTGATTACGCAAGTTATAATTTTGCGGGTTTAATTTTTATTACACGATGTTATTCCTTCACCGTGGAAGTCAATCGTGAACATTTATTAAGTACGTATTTCATTAGAAAAATTGGTACCCGCCTGCGGGATTCGAACACCGGTGCATCGCTACATACGAATGCACCGGACGTCTTATCCTTTAGGCCACAACGACTTAAGTAATTCCTAACAACAACAATAAATCGCTGCAAACCATCATGGAATATGTCCATTTCCGGAGCATAGGCTAGCAAGCCATTGAGTAGCGAGACAGCACGATGCGTCGGGGAGTTAGCGGTGTGCTGCGTACGCGCGTGCGTGGTACTAAGAAGCTGCCGCTGGCGACGCACCCCTCCACACATACATCCGCGCATGTAGCCATCAGGCACATATAGCGACACTGTCGACGGAATTTTATTGGTAGATCGCAGAGTGTTCCGTCAGTAGACAGTTAAGTAGATCTTGGTTCTAATCAAGTTGGCCACCCCCGGTTTACAGATTCCGTACGGACTTCGAAGAGTTGAAATGTAAAATGCGTGTTTTCGGCGAATCGCTCAACCTCTGCCGCTGTATGGCCGATGACTTCAAGAACAAACTCGCGTTCATGGAGAAAAGACTTCAGAGCTTAGAAAAACGACACATCTTGTGGCGGGTAATGAGTCAATTAATACAATAAATGCTTTTTGTTCGCCT